AAGTTTGCATCTCAAGTAGAAAAATCTATCTAATCACTAACAAAGCTTCCTAGAATCCAACACTCACACTCAGTAAATTCAAACCCTAATTATGCATTCCAACAAACTCAGGGTAATAGCCAAACCCCATCAAAATTCATGAATTAGGAAATTCGAGCAAGTCGGAAATTTCACGAACACGACTGTAAAAATCGTACCATGGGTTTATCGTAGAAAAGATATCCATTCATTTCAGCAATAGCAGTCGAAGCAGATTCCGCGTTCTCGAACACTACCCAAGCTTGTCCTTTGTGCTTCAATGTCTTAAACGCCAACACTTCCAGTATATTTCCGAACTTAGAGAACACAAGGTTCAGCGATTTCTTCAGCTCTGTAAGGTTCCAAAGAAAGAAGACGAAAAAATCTCCATCAACTGAAATCGGAGAAAACCTATGACTATAGAAAGAAGAAATTGATCACCCACCTTCGAGCTTCACTTTTTCGTTGAGATTGTTGATGTAAATCGTCTGATTCGGAGAAGAAAGCTCCGATCCTCCTTGATTCGCCTCCTGCATCTCCATCTCTCTCTATCTGATTCACCAAACCTCCGGCGAAACAACAAAAGATTACAGCCGGAGAGAGCCAAAATCAAAAAGGTCAGGTTTTTACTTAAAGCCCTAAGCCCACTAAGTAGCCCAATATTCCTATAAATGGGCCAATTTATAGGCCCAAGGAATCGTAAAAACCCTATTTTTTTTTATCAGAGTCATTATTAGCTCTTGAGGTTTGAGAAGACGAAGCCACCAAAGACGCTTCACCACTAGCAGCAACAATGGTTCGTTCACTTCTGATTTCTCTAGCAAACATCTTCTAGATTTTGGGATCTCACTTTCGGTTTCTGTGTATTCGTATTAGGGTATCGATTTGATTGCTGGGGGTAAAAGCAAGAAGACGAAGCGTACTGCGCCTAAATCCGACGATGTCTATCTCAAGCTCCTTGTCAAGGTACAGTTGATTCTGGTGATTTTGAAGTCTTTTTTTTTGTTTTGGAATTTCGATTTATTTTTTCTGCAATTGTGATTTTTAGCTTTACCGATTTCTGGTGAGGAGAACGCAAAGCAAGTTCAATGCTGTGATTCTGAAGCGTTTGTTTATGAGCAAAGTGAACAAAGCTCCATTGTCTCTCTCTCGTTTGGTCCGTTACATGGATGGGAAGGTACAGAATTTGTTGTCAAAGGTTATGATGTTACTGTTTGAGGCTCGTGAACTTACCAATGATTTGTCTGTGTGAATTGTTGTATCTATTTAGGATGGGAAGATTGCTGTTCTTGTCGGCACTGTGACTGATGATGTAAGAATCCAGGATGTTCCTGCTCTTAAAGTTACTGCTTTGAGGTTCACTGAGAGAGCTAGAGCTAGGATTGAGAAGGCTGGTGGAGAGTGCCTCACTTTTGATCAGCTCGCTCTCCGTGCCCCGCTTGGTCAGAACACGGTATGCATGCACCATTTGGTTTATCGAAAAGATATCCCTTTGTTCGTTATCTGATGGAATAAAAGCACTCTTAGTTTAGTTTGTTGAATAGAAAATGTGGAAACTTGTACATTTCGTTGAATTGGTTTTTATGTTTGCATAGTTACACTAGTATGATTTAATTTCGTTGCTTGATGATTGGGGTTTTGAGGTTTAATTATCTTTACCTCGATGAAAATTGGGCAAAATCTGTATTGTGGCGATTGTGAGTAGCTTTCATTGATGATTACAGATTCTACTTAGAGGCCTTAAGAACTCGCGTGAAGCAGTGAAGCACTTTGGACCAGCTCCTGGTGTGCCAGGCAGCCACACCAAACCTTATGTGCGTGGGAAGAGTAGAAAGATTGAGAAAGCCAGAGGAAGAAGAAAGAGCAGAGGCTTCAAGGTCTAAGCTTAGCCACCAAACTTTCAGGTTTAAGAGATACATTGTGACTTCCTTCAAGAGTCATTATGGTCAGTTTATGTGTGACTTGAGTTTATCTATGCATGTAGTATTAATCTATTAGAGGCTTGGAACTAGAGGGATACTCCGAACTTCTGAAGTAATTAGATTTCTTTCGGATTCTCGATCAAAACTTTTTATTTTCCTTTTTTTCAATCGCATTATCGGGTTTTTTGGATTAGATCAAAGGTTTGATATTTTTTCTATTTGGGTATCTCTCTTTGTCAATACTTTTAAAATGATCCAAACGAATTTTTACTCTTCTCACGTTATATTGGAGAGTCTTTTAGTTTGTTAAGCCTAAGCAAAGCTTGTCTGGATTACTGGAGTCGTCTTTGAAAAACAAGCCTTTCTCTCTAATTGGCATCAAGAACTCTGATAATAGTGTTATTATTAAGTTTTTTTTTTTAATTTGGATTCGAAATGACGTGAAGGAGATTTAATTATAAAAAAAAAAGTGAGGAAAAGCATTAAGAACAAAAAGAGTAAAGGGGAAAAAGGGAGAGGAATGAGCTGGTCATGACTAGGCACGATGTCTCTGACTCGATGTTACATTACGCCTTCTCAATACAGTTTATTAGAGCATCCTCATTGCAAAGAGACTATAAGTCTCTCAATTAGTATATTATTTTAACAAATTTAGTTATTTGTTTAAATTCTAAATTATGAAAAAAATCATTTAACCAATGAAAAATCTCCAAGTGTTAGATGGGTTTTTCTAAAAATTGACAAAAAATTTTCATTTGAGAAACCCGTTTCATTCTTTCTCTCA